ATCCTCCTGCCTTCCTGCCCCCCCTTTGAGCCCTCTCTGGCTCCAAGTCTCCTTCCCCCACCACCGACAGCTAAAATCCCACTGCCCATCCCCATCGCACTGCTTCCGCCAGCCCCGTGTCTGTCCCACTGAGGTACAGGGGACAGGACCCCCCCACCCTGATGCCAGCGCATGATGCTCCGGTCCCCCCCTTCCCTGCCGCGGAAGCACCGCTGTATCCTCCGCTGCCATCGTTTGCTCCTTCTTGGTTTAATTGGAAACCTCATATTTGGATTTCTGCCTAAACCCTGCTCCTGGGACCACGAAAGTCCCTGCTCGAGAGTCCGAGCATCCTTGTTTACAGCGGCAAGCGCAGGCGGTGGGCTGAGGAAAGCTGCAGAGCTGGAAGGCGAGTCGAAACCCCACAGGCTGCGGCTCAGCCCCGTCTCCCTTCCCCAGGCCTGAGCGCATGCATGGGGTTGACAATCCCGCACCGTGGTGCCTATCCACATTCCTGGCACATCCGCTGTACCTGAGCCGAGCTGCGAGCTCCCCTGGAGAGAAAACACTCGTGCTATCTGCAAAATGCCATGCATATTTCCAGAAATCTTTTTGCATAAGGCTGTTAAAATCCCTGCAAGACTTCGACGGGTGTCCTGCGCGCTGAGCGGGGTAACTTTGGGGAGCGCAGGAGGAAGGTGAAGGTTTCTGCAGAGCGTGCAGGCGAAATGCAAAGCACTTTGCTGCCAGAGCTTGGAGGAAACGCGTCTTCCCCGGCTGCTGCAACTTGGCAGCACCTATGGCCCACTGGCCAGTGAGGTGGGCATCCTCCCAGTAACGTTCCTGGATCACTGAACCTCCTTTGCAAATGCTCCCGTTTTGGGGAGCCTCCAAGCCCTGAGCCGGTGGGGTCCAATGCGTCGCTGTGGCAGCCGGACCCCCTCCCCAAATCCTCAGACCCCCCTGGTCAATGCAGATGACTTTAATTGAAGCGAGGCGGCTGCTGCAGGCACATCCCACACGGGATTCATTGGAAAAGTGGCTCCCAGTAGGTGATTCCCGTCGCTACCTACGTGCCACCTCCGGGGACCTGCTGCCCTCGCAGCCACCTCGTGCGCTGCTCCAGCAGCCACGTGCACCGGGTCCAAATCAGCCCCACGGCGCTGCCCCGGCCCAAATCCCACAGAGAAGCGCCCGGTGTACGGGGAACAGCCGTCCCTTCCACCTCTGGCCGCAGTTCGGCTCTTTGCCCCGGAGCTCCCACTCTACCCGTGTTGCAGCCAGAGGGGTTTTGCCGGGGGGGTGCAGGATGGGGCCCTGACACCCGCTGTTTGCAGCCTGCTGGCAGGGAGCCGGGG